CTGGTGAATTCAGTCGGGTCGGGTCCAGGTCCCCCTTGCCACCCCTAAAGAGAGACCAAGATAACTATGCACAATTTCTTATTCCATGTAGATAAGATCAAGCAGTTGGAACCTAAGATCCACAGCTTGCACTGACTTCTCCGTACCATCCCAATTGGCCTAGCATGTCTGGTGATTTTATGCCATGAACAAGATCTTCACTTTTGTCCTGCAAAATTCACTTACAATTTGAGTCTCACATGCCTAGCAACTCCATGTTCACTAGAGAAACAATATCACAATGTTTCTCTCTTTCGACGACCGAATTTCGCGAAAAAATGTTCGTTGTCGACCCTTTCGCCTAGCACAACAGTGAGCCTCACCAATGGCCTGTAAGCACCAAGGGTGCAACACTGGTGGCCTTCCTAGTAGGAGGACTTGTTTACTGCAAAAGCTTCATTCTTCTCAGTGAAGTTGCATGCAAGTTGCTAGTTGTGATGAATGGTGCTTTTGCTGCTATAATAGAAGAGTTTAGTGAATTTAAATTCCAAAAACCATAGTTTAAAGGAAGTAATGGGGTTCTTTCCCCAAATCAACTATATCATTTTGGTTACAAATTGCTTTTTATCATATCTTCCACCATGTGGAAGATTCTCTAGGCACATACATAGGCACCACTTTAAGGTATAGGGGGTAGAAAGAGGGGCTGCTTTAGGGAGGAGCAGTACTCTTTTAGGGATGGTTTTCCTTTAGATGTAATGAAGCCAACCTTTATATTTTCTTTTTTTAAGAGAAAAAAAGATATGTTGGATTTTTTTTATTATAGAAAGTTAGAATGGTAATTTATAACTTAGAATCCTTTTCACCATCATGAAATAACCCAAAAATGAAAGGATATAAGCATTTTTGGAAATCATTTTAGCATGGAAGAACACGAATCTAAGACCTACCCTAGCCAAAAAAAATAAAAGTTGACTGGGTCTAGTGTTCTCTTGCTGGAGCACACTATACATTTAGCCCCTCAGGCAAAAGACCTACTTAAGAGAGTATCTTTCGATCCGAGAATCCGCGATCCAATTTAGAATCATTATATGAGTATTTTTAATAAATTTTTTTGGATTTTGATTACCTAAGAATTAGATTTTTCACCATCCATAAATTGGACAATCGTTTTACAATCTTTTCAATATTGAGATTTATTTTCTCAGGTACATGTGGACTGACTTTTTTCTTTTAACGTTGGTCGCTAGGTTGAAGTTAAATCACAAAAGTTATAATCCTAAAAGTACTTGTAGACATGGTTTTACTCCAGGGTGTGAATGTATGATGTGCTCCTGTAGGAGCATGGAAAAAAAAAAAAATATTAGACATAGTCTTTTAGGTTGTAAAGTATGATCCCATGAGAGCACTAGTGCAATAACTCCCTCACCAAAGGAGCTATTTGGGAGAATTTTTTCATATTAAATTTTGAGATTTAAATAATTGTTTTCCAAAATGAAAAGTAGATTTTGAGTTCTTCAATACTAAGATTTTGACCTCCAAAAATTGCCCGTCGTTGTCCAATCTCGAGACATTATTTTTTACGCACATAGAGTGCAATTTCTTTTTTTGTTTTTTGTTTTTGTTGAGGTTGGTTGTTAGGTTTTAAGGTTACGTTCTCAAAATTTTGGGTCCTAAAAATACTCCTAGCATAGCTTTTGCCTGAGAGAGCAAGCGGCCAGTATGCTCCTGGGGAACATGAAATCAATTGAGCTTTTATATAGAAAGGCTTCTGTTGTCCAAAAATAAAAAAGATAAAAAGAAAAAGAACTCATATTCCTTTTAGAAATAGGCTTTTGAAAAGACAATATGCGGCGTAAATACAACGAGCACAAGGACATGTACACAGCTTATGCGCCTGCCATCTTAAAATGAACGGTACAGATGAGGCATTCTAGGGACCCACCTAGTTCTTTTTGGAATTCAAAATCAGTGTTTTAAAAAATGGATAAAGAGGTCGGATCTGTTGCCTCCTGGACCGATCTGAATTGCCGATCTAGGCGGGTCTGGATTGCCGATTTAGGTTGGTTTGAAGCATTCTCCAATGTCGCAATTGGTTAAAAAAAAAATTTAAATACCTATTTTAAATTTGAATAATAGTTGTTATTTTTTGGCATGTATAGTATACTCCCACATACACATACACTTGTACCGTCAGGCAAACCAGGCATGTAAGAGTTTTTCAAACTGAAATTTGGGGATCTATTTTGGAATCACTAAATTGTTATCTTCAAAAAAATAAAATTTTGATTTTGAGCTATTAAATAATTAAAACTAGCTGTCCAAAAATTGAACGGTCTCTATTAAATCTTAGGAAGTTACGTTTTTTTTGGGCACCTATCGTGTGCTTAATATTTTTATTTTTATTTCTTATTTTTTTAGAATAGTTGCATAGGTTACATCCCCTGAAGTTGGGTTCCCAAATATATATCTAAATAAATTTTGCTTGAGGGCTCACGTAAAAGACTTACTTACTTAGTGTTGACTATTCAAATATTACCACGTGTATTTCCAAATAAAAATCACCACGTGTATTTCCAAATAAAAATCACCACGTGTATTTCCAAATAAAAAGATATAAATATGAGTTCTTTAAATCTTTAGTGTTGACTATTCAAAAAATTAGAAAGTTTGAGGCTCTAAATAATCAAAATAGGACGCACCTCAAAAATTTCACCAGTAAATGTTGTTTTGATGCCCAAATATCTTCAAATTGATAATCTCGACCTCAAGATGCATAGACATGAGAAAAAAATGGATTTCAAGTTTTGGAAATAATGCATCTTGTAATGCATGTTTAGACCGTCAATTTTAAGATTTCCAAGTTTCATCGATCTATATTATTTTTGAAGCATTAAATTTTTATAATTAAAAATAAAAATATATTTTAACGCTATCATAAATATTTCCAATATTGAAACCGCATTTCTCGAGGCTATTTGGAATACGCTTTACTTTGATTGTTTAGAACTTCGGCCTTATACAAACCGCACCCTTCAAAAATTGGACGGTCAAAATCAGGAAGTTAGTTTTCTAGGTCTCTTTAGAGGGCATATCAATTTTTTAGTATTTTTTTGTGTGGTTGGTATCATACTGTGGAAGAGGTTACATACCCAAATTTGGGGTCTTGAGAATGCTCGTAGATATAGAGGAAGATCAGAGTTTTAAAGCATGGACTTAGGTCAGAAGTTGCTAGAGCCCTAGGCCCAATTAGGCAAAACAACTCGGCCGAGTCTGACAAAATCATATCAGACTTAAAATAATCAACAATAAAATTGGGGAACCGATGAAATTCGACTAGTTTTGGTTCAACTCGGTGCTGCCAAAGTTTGCGTTACTCGAGTTAGTACTAGCCGAGTTTTGCGCAAGATTAACTTGGCAACTGCTAGAATATCATTTTAAGGAAAAAATTCTATTTATTGATGGAAATTCATGAAAAAATCCCATTTTATTATCGAAGATTAAAAATAGTCTTGTGTAATTTATATTTTACTCTCAAATCCCAGGTTGTGTGTTGTATTCTAATTTTATTTTCTTTTTTATACATCAGATCAAACTCAAATGTGGGGGGTTGATATTCATCACAATCTCACATTTCTAAAAAAAATACCAAAAAAATATTTTAAACTGCATAACAACCAAAATGCCTCTAAAATGTTGAAGTTTGTTGGGGCATTTTAGTTACTTTTATTTAACTTAATTATATTTTTTTACAAATATATTACAGTGAGAAGTATAATATCCGAGCTTGATCAGACATACATAGAAAAAAGAATAAATACAATATTCATTATACAAACTAGGACTTACATATAAAATATATAGAACTCCTAAAATTTGAAAATATCAAACTTTTTTTTTTTTGTTAATTTCCCTTTTAAATAGGACATATGCTGCAATGACAATACCGCAAATCCAGGCCAAGCCCGATTCACAGGGTGCTTGCCACGTGGCACGTCACAGCACCGAAGCATGCCATGTCATCAGGCCACGTAGGACGTGGGTCCACTATGAAAGCTCCAATCTACCCGAATTACCCCTGATGTCCGTTAAGGGGATAAAAATTACGAAGTTTACCCCTGAACTGAATGTCGAAAGTCCAATTCACGAAAATTTGCATTGCAGTTGAAATATTAGCACTATTCCAACAAAATGGTTCATTAATTCATGGAATTAGTCTAGATTTCGGTTGCTAAAATAATACTTTGTATTTCTCTATTAATTTTGTGGGGTTTCAACGATTAAAAGGTATAGAAAGAGATTCACTTTTTTGCTCTGACATAATTCAAAGGTTTTTAATTGATAAAAATTGTGTTATTTGGCCAAGTTTATCATCATCATCTGAGTCTTATCAGAAAAAGGAACTGAAACAATGGTCAATATTTCCACAAAAAAATAAAAAAATATGTTAACGTAATGCCACAATTTTATGTTAAGAAGTATAGCCACATCTCAAAATTGCACCAACAAATATGACTCTTGTGAGAACGCCTATGCTGGTCTTAAATATTGTTTGTGCTACTATGCAATCTGAACCTTCCAAAGCAACGTAGATTTTTCATATATGTAATTATAAAAATAATAACTTAAAAAAATATAATAGAACATACATTATTTTTAAAACTAAAACCCTTTTTTTTTTTTAGTATGGAGTATGAGATGAGCACTTGGAGGATTTTTGAACACCAAAACCACAAAATATTTGACTATTTGAGCTGCAGTTCTCCACATTAAACTTTTCTATTTAATAAAGTTGGGGGCTCTTGAGGAAGTAGTGAATTGTCAAAAAAGTTTGGGAGCTCAACAGGCCTTTTATAGTGGCTTTTTTTTTTTAGTAAAAGGCATTTTGGGGATAAAAAAAGGTCGAAGGTCACTTTACAAAAAAAAAAAAAAAAAAGAAAAAGAAAAAGAAAGTATGTGGGGGTAGTATGTTAGGATGGGGGTTCTACTTTCTAATGCAATGTATAAAATGACCACCAACTTCCAAGTATCAACTCAGAGCTCACTCTGCAATTTTAATGGAGGTATACAGCCAAACCCCCTTCCCCAATTCTATGCAAGAAACCATAAATTCCCAAAAATTTCCCTTCACAGTAAGTATTCACCCTCTCTCTACAACCCTTACATGGCCATTTTCTATTTTCTTTGATTCTCTCTCTAAGGCTCTAAGCATTCTCTGCCTTTTTCTTTCTGGATTTTGCAGGAGTTTTCATCATCTTCTTTCATTTCAGACTACCACAATTTTCCGGTCAATTTTCAACCTTTTTATGGCGCCGGAATCTGGAATTCCGACCATGTTCCCGCACCCCAAATGCCTGAAGCTGTTAGTGGGGATTCAGAGCTTATGATAGGGCCTGAATCAGAGGCATTACCTCTGGTTTTTTGTCCACCATTTTCTGATCAATTCAATGGTTTTGAAGAGGGCTTTGGAAACTCCAAAGTGAGCCTTTTTATGCCGGAAAATGGATTGCCGGAAAATGGGATTGAGATGAATCGAAACTTTGCCGAAATTTCAGAATCAAGCTGTGGATTTCGGCAATGGGAAACCGCGAATGCTTTCGGTGAGATGGATAGAGGGCGCAAAGTTGGGGTGGGAGATTTACAGGTAAATTGCGGAAATTTGGCACCGAAATTTCGCCACTATAGTTGAAATGGCGGTCTTCTTTATTTCTTCTTAGAGTGAGAGTAATAGCCCTGGGAGTTTCGCAAATCTCCAGGATACCCCTTAATTCTCGCTTTGGTGAGATTGGCTTCTGGTGAATGTAGTGTTCTTTAGATTGGGGCGAGAATGGACGGTTCAGATTTTATTTTGGAAATTCTCATAAAATTTTTTTTGGCAGTTTCTTCATCTTCTCAACTTTGCCAAAACAGAGTTTGTAAAATGCATTTTTCATGTAAAAAAGTTTCCGTTCATCTGAAAAATGATGGTCTTTTTGTTAATTGCAAAGTATTTTTTGTTAGGATTTAATGGAGTTTTCTTTAAGCTCACGCTAATTTGTTGCTTAATCCTTCAGCTTATTAGGCTTTTTACTCTTTCTTTCAATTCCCAATAACAAACTTGCATGAGTCAATTACATTACCTTGTTAAGGTTTTATGCATTGTTAAAAAGCTTAGTGGATCAACAACAAATGGAAGTAGGCACTCTCTCTATATATATATATAGAGGAAAAGATGTTGTTAGCCTATAAGTTGATAGAATAATGTAAGTCCAATAACTCAGATTGAATTTGAATCGATCAAACAGTCATGATTGGTTTGTTACCGGATGCCACGTTTTATTTTATTTGCTTTGTCAGCCCATGCTTATGTGTTATGAAATTAAATAGTCAAATCTTGAAGAGGGTTGGAGGCCTATGCTACATAGAGTAAGCTTTAACATAAATTACTAATATTATCTCATAGGATCAATGTATGCCTCACTAATAAAAAGGACATGCCTACCAAAATACAGTGACATTTTAGTGTCAAATAATATTGGTGCCAGTAAAAAATGAATGAGAGAGAGAGAGATGGATGGGCAATAGGTGTGGGCTATTATATGGATGTTTGATTTTATTCCCATCTCACATAAAAATTTGCTATCAATTTTGGGAATCTTGAAAAAAAAGTAAGCCCACATTTCTTAATAAGAATTATGTTGGTTCCTGTAGGATTTTTCAGGCACTTCTACTGAAGAATCTGGGTTGAAGGTGGGGCGTTACTCAGTGGAAGAGAAAAGAGAGAGAATCCACAGATATCTCAAGAAGAGAAGCCATAGGAACTTCACTAAGACAATTAAGGCAATTATCTTCTCATTTCTCTTTAGCATTATTACAATCAAAAGGTTCAGTTAAGGGTTAATACGGTCAAAACTGGTCCGACCAGTTGAATTATTTGGACATTATTTTAAAATAGTAAAAAAAATTAAAATATATTACGAAAATATTAATTTTGTTTAGCTTGTTCAAATAGTTAAACAGGCTTTAAATGCAGTTAAATATTGATTTTGACTAGTTTTCAACCAAATCTAATATTTATTTTAAATTAAATTAGATTCGTCAAGACACTAATCAATTATTGACCAATTGGACTATCTGATTTGATGAGATCTTGATAATACTATTTTTCATACCTAATTGCTTTTGTTCCTTCTTATTATCTACTGTGAAACCACTTAAATGGGGCCAAACTGACTCTTTTGGACATTTGTGTATAAATATTTTTAATTTTTTGTTTTTTTTCCCTTTCTTTGTTCCATATTTTGTACTACTTTATCTCACATGAAATTGCTTGTAAATGTACAGTATGCGTGCCGGAAAACTCTTGCAGATAGCCGGCCACGTGTTCGAGGAAGATTTGCAAAGAACGATGATTTTCCTACTTACCATACAAAAAATACAGAAAACCAAGAAGATGGCCTTGTTGCGGTAAACTATGACTCTTTGCCCCCCATCCATGTACTTCAGTATGTATTTATTTTCAATATGGATTAAATTTAGATTTAATTTAACTTACTATTATGAGTCAACTAGTTAGGGGTCACATCTCTTCTAAAAAAGGGTGCTGTTTGTATAGAGCCTAGGCTCTAAACAATCAAATTAGAATCTACTTTCAAATAGTGTCGAGAAATGTGGCTTATTGGAAATCTTTGTGAGAGCCTTAAAATATATTTTCTTATTTATTTATAAAGTTTAAAGTTTCAAAAGCAATGTAGATCGATATATCTATGAAAATTTGAAAATCTTGACGGTTTAAAAATGCGTTATAAAATAAACTATTTCCAAACCTTGCAATTTATTCTTTTCTCATGTCCATACATCTTGATGTCGAGATGATCAATTTAAAAATATTTGAGCATAAAACAATGTCTTCTAATTAAAATTTTGAGGCAAACTCAATTTCGATTGTTTAGAGCCTCAGGCTCTATATAAACTTTTACATGCTGCAGTACTTGTTTACATGCTATTTGGGATTAAAAATCTCCCTTTAACTGTCTGATATGATATAAATAACAGATATTTGGTGGTTGATGTCTGTATTTAAGAAAGTTTCCTATAGTTCTCTGATGTTACCCCACCCGTCAGATGTCAAAATCGTACGGGTGGGGCGTGGTGTTCCACCACTCAAAGTTGAACCTTTTGTATTGTCAATGGATAGATGATGTCACATAACTGTGAGGAAACTTAGTATACACATTGTATAGAACTATTATCTAAAGGGTGTGGTTTACATAAGGTTGTAACCTTAAACAACCAAATTAAACTGTGCTTTCAAATTTTATTATGAGATGTAATTTTGGTGTCAAATTTTTTTAAGATTATGCGGGAATCTATTTTATCTCTAATTATAAAAGTTTAAACTTAAAACAGGGTTCAAATCAAGCATGGTTCAAATCAAGGAACCTATAAACACATGAAAATATTGAAAATAAACGGTTTGGGTAATGTATTGCAAAATGTAAATCTCTGTTTTTTTTCATATCCATACATCTCGACATCGAGATGATCAATTAGCTGTTTTTCCAACATCAAAACAACATTTTTCGAAGGATTTTAGTGGTGCACATGACATTTAATTTTGGCATAAAAAATCATCGAATTATCTGAAAATCCATTTTCATATCTAATTATAAAATTTAAAACTCCAAAAATGGTTAAAATCAAATCGATCTATAAACATATGAAAATATTGAAAATTGATAGTTTAGATAATGTGTTGCAAGATGCAGTATTTTTGGGTACTCAAAATCTCTTTATATATATATATATATATATAAATGATCTTATAGGACCCTCCCCCACCCATGTGTGTAGGACCCCAATGGATCACTATTAAATTTGGTACGGATCTATAAAAAAATCAAGTCTCACACCCATGTGATAATTTTTCTAGAGATACGTGTCAACT